GAGCCCACGGGGTGTCACTCCTCCGGCATGACCTCAACCTCGGCCCGAGCCCTTCGCGTCACACGCTCCGGGCATCCGCGGAGCCTGGCCGCTCGCTGGGGCCGGATCATGGGCACCTACCGGGACCCCTGAGCGACTCCAGTCCGCCTGGAGCTGCAGCTGCCCGCGGAGAGAGCAACGCGCTAGCTTCTTTCCCACCAGCCACCGCCAAGCTAAGCAAGGTAGCTCGGAAGGAAGACCAAGAGGGAGGGACGGGTGGCCTGGAGGGAAGTTTCCAGGCGGGCAACCGCAGGAGAGGGAGATGCCTCCTTAGGATCGCCGCTGCACCTTCGCACTGAAAGGTCCCGGCTGAGGCTCCGGAAGCGGGAAGGTTAGCCATCCCCCCTGCTCGAACCAAGGCGGATCCTCTCACAGGAGGTTGGATATTGTTTCCCCGAGAAAGAGCAGGGAAACCTCTGGCTAGGCTTGGCTCAATTCCCTCTGAGGCGTCTCGTTCTGTTAGTGCGTGATCCTGAGCCTTCTCTGCCCCTGTGCAACCTTGCAACTGACTGATCTCCCAAAAGACGGGCCCTTGAACATCGCTGCACTGCTCCTTTCCCCTGTGGTGCTGAGAACTGCGAGTTTTCTTATCGAGGAAAGCGTTCGGTATGTCTCCCAAGATCCCTCTCAGACGCACTCTCTTTCTCTTTCGAAGTAGCTGTGCTGTCTGTCTGCCAGGCTTGAGGTTTTCGTCCGGCTTCCCTCCCTCTTTCTAGCCAACAGTCGTCATGTGCAGCGCAATCCCATCCTTGTCTAAGTGAGAAGGCAGAGGCGCGTCTCCAATGAAAGCGGGGCGGGGGAAGGGAGAGACTTATTGCCATGTCTTTAGGATTAGAGCCTCAACCCGATTTGATTCCACGGCTGACTTGCAGGGGAATTGGGCTCGGCGGAAACCGTGACAGGTTGGAAGGACCCCCGAAGGCGCTTGAGATCAGCAGCTCCTTCGCTTCCTGCCTTCGCGGTGTTTGCCAGAACAACAAGCCAGATAAGCAAAATCGTTTGGTTCTAAGTTGGTTTTAGTTTTAGTGAAGAAGGCTACCCTTCCAATCCTATGTAGTCCCGTTTGAGTCCCACTAAAAGGATCGAAACATGCGCAGGTGTAGGCTCGGGCGTGGTAGGTTTAGCCCCCTACACCGAAGAAAGGTAGAACCTATTGAGGTCGAAGAAGTAAGTGGGTCTTCTAAAATGAACTGTGTTGAGGAGGGTAAGAAATGGGTTTCCAGGACCTCAGTGGGGAGTGGGGTGGGTAGGAGCGGAAGTTCTCCCGTCCATTCCCCAAATGCAAATCTGTGCGTCAGGGTCTGTTTTTCCTTCCTTCCTCCTCCACCAAAACTGCGTGTATTTTGAAATAGCAAGCCCTCCTGGGCAATGACCACCACGAGGAAAGGAGCCGCTCCGCAGAAGAAGCATGCCAGGCCTGGAGGCGACTTGGCGATTAAACGGAGGCCGATTCCCTCCCCGTAGAAATCCATGGCTCGAATTTAAACACACGGCAGGATATCAGTCGACTTTACTTGCAGGCGGCGACACATGGATCCCGTTGGGGTTGAGTGGGAGCTTTAAGTGGCGTTTACGGGGAGGGCGTCCGCAATAATTAATTTTGAAACAAAACGGGCCCAGGTCTCCGGCGGCTGACTGAGGCACTTTCTACAGAACAAAACACCCTTGACTAGGAGACAAGCTCTCCCTTAATTCAGTGGGGCTTACTCTCGAGTAAACAGTTTAGGCTCGGGCTGGTTAATGGCTTCCTTTAATAATTAATTTTGAAACAAAATCGGCCCAGGTCTCCGGCGGCTGACTGAGGCACCTTCTACAGAACTAAGCACCCTTGACAAGTTCTCCCTGAATTCAGTGGGGCTTACTCTCGAGTAAACATTTTAGGCTCCGGCTGGTTAATGGCTTCCTTTTTCTCCTAGTGCTAGGGTCACTTAAAAACACAAAACAAAGTCAAACCAAAAACAGCAACAACCAAAAAAAAATCGAGATGTATTAAAGGTTTATGTCTTGAATGAGGCATAGGTCCCCGAAAACAAGGAGTAAATTCTTTGAACTTCCCCGTCTTTGTGTCAAAAGTTTAGGGAGAGAGCCAGCTGTTGTGTGTGGTACAGTGATTCCACCTTGGGTAACCCAAGAGTTCTTAGACTGCCATTCCCAGAACCCTTCACCACCAGCTGTGCTGGCCAAGGTTTCTGGGAGTTACAGTCCTACCAAGCTTGGGAACCACTGGTGTAGTGGTCAGAGTGGCGGCGCACTTGGACTCAGGTGTGTGTCAGGTGCCGCTAAGTCGCATCCCACTTCCAGCAACCCCGATGGAGCTATACTAGTGAGATGAGTGCTTTTTAACAGTTCCCTCAGCTTTCCCAGTGAGTGTCCTTTGACAGCGGGGATCTGAACTCAAGTCTCCGGAGTCCCAGTCCAAAACTCTGTCCACTCACCGAGCTGGGCATATATAGTGAGAACAGGTCACACGCCGTTGAAAACCTCGCTAGGGCAATAACCCTGGTGGGCCATTACACAAAAAAGAAAGGCTTGTATATTAGTTATGTCACGTTTTCCCTATTCCTGTAAGGCGTTCAGGGCAGCCGTGCAGGGCCGTCCTCCGCCCCGCCCTCACATCAGTCCGATCCTGTAGGATAGGTTCGGCCGCAAAGAAAGTGACTGGTTCAAGGTCGTCCAGCGCGTTAATTTTAATGGTCCCGTAAGGACTCCACCCTGAGACACCCCCTGCCCCAGCTTCGTTCCCGCCTTCTATATCTAAGACTACCCTGTTGCTCCGCCATGGGCTCTCCTCCTCGGAGACCTTATCTTCCTGTAATGGTTATAACTTATCCCCTTTGGCGCGTGGAAGTTCGGTACTGAAGCCTCACAGCACGAAGTCCCGCTGGAGGTGGAAACGCGTCTCTCTCTATCTAAGGAAGTGGCCCCCTCGAGAGGGAGGCTGATGGGGGCCCCGGCAGAACCATGAGCTGTCACCGTTTCGGAACAGAATTTCCAGCCGCCCCCCTCCCCAGACGAGCCGAGCCGAGCTGCGGGGGAGGGTATTCTGAGAACGGTCCCCTTCCCAAGGTCTGGGCGGCGGTCCCTCACCGCGGCCTTCTTTCAGTTTTACTCCGGCTCAGGCGCGCGCGGGCGCTCCCAGGTTGCTTCAGG